TCACGCAGCAGAAATGGGCAAATCACTTTCTCGAGACACTTAAAGAATCAACTCAAATAAAATGGATGACGAAACGCATAGCGCTATATGAAAGGAAATACTATCTTGTGCGTGTAAAAGTGGTGACTGTAAGTCGTGTAAGTATGGAATAGAATAATTTAAGGTGTGTTCCGTAATATTGTGCATGTGACGATAAAAAATATACGACAACATGACCACTTGAAACGGTAAGTGTCACACATTGAATAATTCTGAGAAAATATGCAGAAAACAAATGATTAAACACTGTCGATAACCATACATCATGAAAAAGGCAGAAATACGGTTCTGCCACCAAAACAAAGAAAGAAATGAATTTCATTTATTTTAACAGACCATTCTTTTTAACACAGGAGAAATTTTTTAGAGAATTTTTTCTCGAACCTCGACGCAATAGCTTTTGCTATTTTCTTCTATTTGTACGAAAAGATTATTTCAACATTTTTAAAAATCTTGCTTCAGAGTAATTTGACGTTCTCACTGTAATCAATCATCAGTCGCCTAGTAGCGGGCCAGCCCAACATTTTCAGAAAAAAATACACAGATTTGCTTCTTTGATGAGTTATAACTACTAGGACAGAAAATCCATTTTAGCGATACAACGGCTACAAATTTTTCATAATAATCTTTCCACTCTAATATCAACAATCATTTACCATCAGCCACGTACCCGTTTTTGAATAATCAACTTTTCTATCCTTTTCCACCACAAATGTTGTTATATCAGATTTTAGACCCATCGGAGACTACAAAAATTGTTATACGTGATATGCAGGTTTAGCACGACTGTGTGTGAGGGGAGAGAGGACGCGATAGGCTTCCAATAATAAAAAAACATTTTTTAACCAGCAAGATGATCAAAAGGATTTTGGCAAAAGGCCGCACTGCAAAAAAGTTTTGGTTCACATCTACCATAAACATTCTTCCAGGCAAACTTCATTGAAAATTTCTAAAGTTTTTTTGACACCTTTCTAATCTTGAGTGATTCGGGCCAGTCCTGGTGATATGTTCGCAAACAGAAAGCAAAACGCCATCAAAATTTAAGAAAAAACCAAACTTATGCAAAATGCGAAAGTTGCGTTACCGGTACATCGTCAAACGAGTACTCCTTTTTCATAATTAAAACTTCCGTCTATCATAAGTATCGTTCATCGGCAATCATTTTCTTCGAATTTGATCGTAAAAATATTTCGCTAAGTATCTGCTTTTTATTTTAAGAGAAAGGGAGAAAAAACGAGCAGAACGAATAAGAATATCGAGGTTGATCTCTACATGAGTAACCATTACATTACAAATGCATAAATGTTTATGTACTTAAGCATCTAGGATCTAGGGATTTTTGAGAGCTCATACTTAGTTTTTGGAGGTATTAACGCTATTTTCTATCCTTTAAGCACCAGTACGTTATCCAATTCGATCCATTCCGATGAACTGGCGATATTTAACGGTCGGTGACCTGATGACTTTACCAAGGGGAGTGTAATCCGTTCTTTTACTGTTCACACTGCATGTCATATCACCTTCTAGAACTGTGGATGAAGACATTCACCACTTCTTTTTCGAATGCCCCAATTACACTATTTAAAGGAAAGTTTTACGTAACCAACTTCGAATATTAAATATTCCCTTGAATAAAAGTATACTTCTTTTGCGGTCATCCTTCAATGAGAATAATATATTAAAAATTTACGAAGCAGTTTGTCTCTATATCTATAAAATATAAAATAAAATTCCTGTTCATCAGTAAATCCAATATACTCCCGCAAAACCATATTTGCTGAAATTCTGTACTTTTCTCCCTCGTCTCTGCTCCTCGATGTAAGGGTTTCTAGATCAAATGATCCTATCTAGCACTGTTATTGTGTATTAAAAGTGTTTGTTTGGCATTTAACTGGATATGTCTTTTAAATTTTTTTCTCGCTTTTGATACCTTCATTTTTTCTTTTTTTATTATGCGGTAGCGATACTATTCTGAGGATTCTTAACATCTTATAAAAGCATCTCCTGAATATGTAATGAAATAAATGTCTTGGTTTGTTCTATGTGCTTTTCTTTTCTTAAATAAAGTTTATAAAAAGGTATGGATGACACTAAAAAAAGTTAATTTTTTCATTTCCATTTAATCACTTTCAAAAGCAAGACTACATTCCTGTTCTCTACATAAAACTGAGTTGACCAAACTATATTGAATCAATCGAGCAGCTAACAGTTTTCTCGTTCAGTGTAGGACATATCTGATATACGTTCTTTTAGAGTTCTGAAGCGTTTTGCGAAACAAAGGCCGCTTATTTATCTCACTTTAAGAACCTCATTATTAGATGAGAAGGTCATATGCTAGTAAGTCACGTTATTTCTTTCCGAGCTTCACGCAATATATTTATTTTTTTATTTCATTTAAATGTTGTACAAATAAACGAAAATGATGCAGTCGTAACGAAAATCCCACGACTTCTTCTTTCCACATCTCATATCGCACGAAATTACACCATCATCCCATTGAACATCGACGCCGGTGTTGTTTTTCGCAAATGAAACAATTTTTCTTTTGAAATAATGGGCATATCTCAAGAATCCTTGAGATATGCCCATATTTTACCTTTTCTTCCTTCGCATAGTTACTTTGACCGATCAGAATCCAGATTTATATTTCGTTCTGTCAGCGAATATTTAGACCTTGTACAGCAAACGTGTCCTATAACGACACGTTCAAGATTATTCTCATATTAACCAGATATCCAGAAAGAAACTATAGCCGTTATACACAAAATATGTTTGCAGCATTCTGTAAAGTTCGTTTCTATTTGTCTTTTCACACGCTCCGTTATCACGATATTTTTGGTCATGATACTATAAAATAACAAATAATATATATGATTCAAGCCACTCGACAATTCCAGGCAAGCATAGGTATAGTATTGAGAGATATGAACCCTGGCCACTCGACTTTTGTCAGGAAATACAACTAGACTGTCTACGAATGTTGTATCTACTCATTGAACTAATAGCTTATCTTGTGGAGAATTCAGTTCTCTATAAGCGTGATATATTCAAAAAGCTTTCGATGTACGTTGAGCGGTTAAAACGTTAAACTTTGTGCAGATGGCGTGAGAAGTCACTTTAAGTTACTCATATGAATATGCTCTTGTATTCATAAACCTAATCAAAAAGAAATACAATATTCATTCATTCACCCTTTCTCCCTCTCTCTACATGCTAGTCTATGCGCTCTTGCAGAAAAAACAGGCTCAGTAACAAAATTCGATCTAATTCAATTGACAACAGAATCCTCTTCTCATTGCTATAACTGAATCGTGGTTAAATGACAAAACCTTAGCAACTGATATCCAAATAAATAACTATAGTTCTTTTCATCTAGTCGCCAGTAACAGAAAAGTCATTCACATCTCGAGTTTATTGGCACTGATGGATAATTTAGAAAATCAAAATCAAGCAACGTAGCAGCTGTCTTTTATGTAAAAAATAAACTAGCTTGCTTTTCTAATCTCTTTTTCCGTTCAAAACTGAGCTGGTGCAAAGTGGATGCGTGTACACGCACTTATGCACTATGAAAATTTGGTTGCAAGATGGAGGAATCACCGTGTTAACGAAATGAACAGAAAGCCTCTATGGACGCAAAGAGTAATTTTTCTTTTCTCTGTTGTGTTTATTAAAGCGCGAAAACTGCTCTTTTTTTTCATCAATAAAAGTGCGCGTACTTAATTAATACAACGACATTGAATGAATAAATGCATCTTTCGACTGTTTTTTGAAGAAAGCACAAATAAATACATGTTTTTGGTTTAAATGAAAAAATATACAGGAAGTAATACTTATTATTAATAGATTGTTTTAGGTTCTTTCAAAGAACCTATTTTATGTAGCTCCTGTAGTGAAACGTTTTCTGAACTAGTTCAACTCACTGATTTTCTTTTTATTCACAAATATTGACAGAAACCAAATGAAATTTGACGGAGACAAAAGACTGCATACATTTTTTGCTTCATTCCGAAGCTAAATACTGTTAACAGTAAAAAATCACCGGTTTCGATAAATTCAAACTTTTTTTTAAATTTTGAGAGGTAGAGTTTGATGAAGGCTGCTGCGAATCTCTGAGACCATAAGCTATCAAATTTCTCCTAGAAAATTTTTTTGATTGCTCTCGTAGAAACGCAAATCAGGCAAAAAGATTTGTTCGCAATTCACAACAGCAGGTAAGTCGATCAACGACTCAAACAGGTGTGTTTTCAAATGCACTTCTTAACATAATGCTAACTTTCTCATATTTTGTTAATTGCAATTTATCCCACAAAACAAAATTTACAATCGCAACAACAGATAAAGCCAACAAAAAAATTGAAATAAAATGACACAATGTTTATGATCCAACATAATTTTCATAAGAATATTTTTAAATCGATTGCTGTTGGTCATCTTCACACTACAAAGAAAATATGAGCAAAATCAGTTGAAGTAAAGGAAATCCTGATTTGTAATTACTAAGTAGGATAAGTTTAAAAGCAATGGAAAAGTGATTTTCAGAAATAACGAACTAGTTCAGCCTTCTTTACGAGGGGTATCAGAGTTCCTACATTTCAGACACTTTCCACAGACTTCCATGTATCAGTGAAACCTGACATCATAAAAACTCCACTAGAATTCTATTCTAGGAAAGTTATAGAATTCTGCAGAATCCTGCGTAACTAGTTCCACTTCTCCTATCAGGACGAAATCTAAGGAAATCTAGAGAATTCTACACCATATAAGCACTTACGAATATTTTTGAATATTGTTGAATCGTTGAACGTTTTGTATCATTCCAAATCATCTTCTTACCATACATTTATCGTCAATTCCTAAAACAGACAGAATAAAGAACACATGATTAGAGCACAACATACGAACGAATGAGCAAAGATTGCTGATGTCAGAACTACGACATCACTGACTTTCAAATTTTTTAGATGGCACCAAAGCCACACGGCAGATCACAGCGCAAGTATGTGTTCAATCGGCAATGTTTCTTATGTGGTCAAAGTAGCGGGAATGCAGCAGCCTTCGGAACTATCAGCGACGCTGCTCACGAACAAAAATTTCGTTCTCAGATAGAACTGATTGTACCTGCATTGAGCCATCGATTATCACTCATTGGGGAAAATTTTCACCGTTCTTGCTATTCAACACTTATTGCAAAAAGAAGACGTGTAGGTAAACTCCGCAAGACGAATAAATTCTTTATTTCTTGCACAACGCTGCTTCTGTTCACAGAAATCAAAAGAGGAAAACAAGCACAATCGGTTACTCTAGATGATCAACTTTATCCCTCATTTCTGGCACAAGATGGTACATAATTTGACAGGTATATCGCAAGTAATTCGTGACTATTTTCTGTTGGTTATTTAGATGATGAGGATGGTAAAACCGCAAGTGAGCAATACAACACCACACATGATGATTACGATCAAGAAGGTGGACTTTTGCTTTTTTAATTCATCTTTATCACCTCGTATCCAAAAAAACCTTCTGCAGCTATCTAATGAAAGAATCAGGAAAATAAACTATGTACCTTTTACATTTTCGAACCATAACAAATGGATACTGAAATATATGCAAAATACACAATAGTTGGTTATATTATTGATGAGTTGGTACCACACATACCAAATCAATAAATGGATAAAGATAACAACTTTGAACTTCAGTGAAATAAATCATTTTAATGACTTGATGTGTTAAATCAAACTAAAACAAAAAAAGGAATGTTTATTTTAAGAAACTACTTTTTATCATAAATACTAGGAATGATTGACACTCTTTCCTACTGTTCGAAGACCTTCTCCTATCTTTTTATGAACAACAGTATGCAGGGGCGCAAATAACGGGGGGGGGGGGGGGGTGNCATCCCCCGAATAATTGGAATTTTTTTGTTCCGTACTATGACTGTTTTAAAAGATTCGCATTTTTTTTTATCAATTTCACACTACCTCAGAGAGAAATTTTGGTTTACACCCCCCTAATATTCGGCTCCTATTTGCGGCCCTGACAGTATGTCCTTTCTGCTCAGGCATAGAAAGTCCTTCCTTCTGACAAGTTTTCTGTCTTCATGTCTTATTTCTCTGTTAAAGACAGTTTTCTAACTTTACCGACTTCAGTATTATATTTTCGTTTAGATGAATACAATTTCGGTTCCGAGCATGCTGATTTATCCTCGGCGACAGCATCAACTCGAAGATTTAATCGAAAACAACTTTATTCACGTAAGAACTGGGATACTCTTGTAATTTCTAACATTTTTCTTATTTTGTCTTTAGAACAATCATTTACATTACCAAATACACTCAAGTTCGTCTCATCTGGCCACAATGAAGTTGGTAAATATCTTATTTTACCCATATCTGTTCTAATACTCATTTCTCAGAAAGACTAACAACTC